CAACGATTACCTGCTGACCACGACCTCCAAGAACTCAGTGATCATCGATAAGGTGTGCAAAGAGAACGTGGAGTACAGGAACCGGTTGGGCATTGAGCTGAAAGTGGTGTTGAATCGCGAGGAGTGCGATAACTATCGCAAAGAGGCGAAGCGGAGGAAGCGGTTCCACACGAACATCGATAGTGTCATCACTGATGTGATCCAAAATCACGTGAAAGTCGAGCCCATTGAGTGTGCGGTGCAAAGCGAGCCGCAGGTGATGGCGATGTCGTTACCACCGATGGCTAACTACTCGAAGTCGTTACCACCGATGGCTAACTCGAGGATCACCACTACCTCGACATTAGCGGCCAATAGGAAGACATACAGCGGACCGAAGAGTCGATCGCCGAATAAAGTGATGAATGGTTTCGCGAATGATATCAAAGGCAAAGAGGCGTTTGATTTGTCGCAAAAGATCAGTAAATTAAAAGAGTTCAACAGTTTTGGTGTAAATAATCATTTGATTCATAATATAAACTGTAATATAAGTGCGGATCAGTTGCAGACAAATTACTCGCATCTGTTTGATAAGTACTTTAAGACAAAAAATGGCAAAAAAGTGAAACACAGAGACAAACCGCGAAGTAGTGATAGCTCGCCGGCGAAGAGCGATAAATCTCAAGACGCGGTGCCGATTGGGAGGCACTCGCAGGAAGTGGTGAATGGCAGGGACTCTCAGGGATGTCTGCCTATCAGTCAAAACCGTGGTAACCCTATTAACAATAATTACATTAATTCTTATAAGAGGTTCTGTGAAAATAGGGATTTTAAAGACCACATCAAGTAATGTGAACACTAATGAAGTAATGTCTAAATGTGTGAAAAATGCAATTTATGTCACGAATGAGTCGATAAATTGATAGTTTTGTAATAAATAGTTAAGTTTTGTTTGCACTCTTGTTTTGTACGGTTTTAATCCGTATTTTTCTATTTATACTGTATTGCGAAACACTCTACTGTATGCTAAATACCTATATAATTATCACGAATTACTGTATGATAAACATTAAACTGAAAAATATATATTAAACATATATTTAAGTAAACCATATATTGTATATATAAAATAGAGATTTTAAATTTTGCAATAAATGCATATTTTCGAGAATAAAACATATTAAGCATTATTTTTCAATCGCTTTATTGATTTTAACTTAATATTTCAAATAAGATACAGTTTCTCATAGATAATCGGTGGCACTATATATTAACATAATTTTTTAATTTATTGAATTACCATTCATATAAATTGGTGAGTAATTTAAATAGATTTCTACAAATTTATAGTCAAATAATTACAAAAATATAGTAATGATATGGATTTTAAAACAATTGTTTTTCTTATATATTGAATAGATTTCGTGTATAACTTAATCAACTCATCATAAAATGACTTAAAATAATAATAATTTGCAAAAACATTTGCCATTCATTTGATAACGCAATGCATTTTGAAGCAAAAGTCTCTCTTTTTCTTATCCTTCTTCTTATCCTTCAATCGGATGAAGTTCTCCGCGTATTTCACGTCCGATTTGCCGCTCACTTGACTGCTCTGCGACTCCCTCTTCGCCACCAACTCTTTGGCCATAATCTGGTTGAAGACGAGTGACGCGATCCTCGCGAACAACTCCTTCACGTTTTCGCCCGATTGGGCCGAAACCGTCCAGAACTCAGCCTCCAATCGGTTGGCAATCTTCGCCGCCTCCCCGGCCACGAACTCGGCCGCCCCCTCGCCCAGGAGGTCGCGTTTGGTGCCCACGAGGAATAGGAGGGGTTTCTCGGACCGCGCGTTGGCCTCCAGCACCTCTTCGATCCACTTCTCGACCGATAAGAGGGTCGACATGTTTGACAAGTCAAAGACGACGACCGCGCAGTGCGAGCCCCGGTAGTAGGTGGTGGTGATGCACTTGAACCGCTCCTGGCCAGCCGTGTCCCATAGCTAGAGGTGTGATATATGTATGTAATTGTGAGTAATTTGTTGTTAAATTTAATTTATTTGTGCGATTAATAGATGCGAAATAAGCTGTATTGTATGAATGGTGTAAGAAATTGAGACAATATTTTAATGAAAAGTTTTTTGTTTGAAAAGTTTTAGTTAATGAAGACTTTAAACTGAGAGAAAGTTTTTTAGAAACGAGTTATGAATGCGAGAGTGATATCATAAGTAATTTAATGGACTTTTAATTAAGACGTTGCCCTAAAAACAGGTATTTCTCGCGATTTCAATGACATAGAGATCCAGTTATTGACATTAATGATGAAAGTATTGCCATTTATTTTATTGAATTAGAAATGGGGAGAGTTTTTAATGAATAATTATTATTATAATTATTAAGTTTAATAAAGAAGTCCATAGAAAACAAAGACTTGTATTCATTGAATCTCATGTTTATATGAATATAAAATGATATATTATTTGATATATTTCTCAAAGTTCATGAAAAAATGAGGTCTCGATATGAATACAGAATGTCTCAGCAATAGATAATAGATAAGGAAAGTACTGAAAACTAATGAAATTAAATAATTTCAATGCACTTACTTGTAAACTGAACGGGGTATTTAATATCTCAAACTTCTGGACATCGAAGTCCACCCCAATGGTGGCCTTATAGTTGTTGGCGTAGACATTGTATCCAAATCTGTTGATTAGACACGTCTTTCCCACGGCGATGTCTCCCACGACAATACATTTGGCAACTCTTAGGTGATTAGTGCCCAACTCCTGTTGGCAGAGATCGTGCACTTCTGGATCAAAGTCGTGGTTATTATATGGCGTCGACGATGTGTCGTATGGCAGCACAAACTTGGAGATCACTCGGTTGGCGATCATTGTCTTCAATGGTGTGGCGAAGCTCTTTAAACACAATGTTTTGGTCGCAGAAAAAGTTTTGACTAAAACTTTAAATCTCACGATAGATGTGAGTGAACAACATCTGTGCGAAGGGAACGGGTGGTGGCTTTTCCAATGGCTTTCCACTTGCTTTTGTCGTACGGTTTCTTCAGGTATTGATAGATAGGATGTGAGGAAAGGGAGAGATAGAGAAGTAAAGCACTCTTTGTTGAGATGCTATACAAACTCTGGTTATTAAAAAAGTTCTGTTACTGTATGTGGAGTAGCGTTGAGTGTAGTGTAGAGTAGACTCCCGGTGCCCAACCTGTGGAGTGGAACTGACAATCAAGGGAAGTATGAGTTGTGTGTTGTGTTGGGCTCCTATATCCTGGAAATCAGTATTTCACTGCTTATTGTCACCACTATTTGCATTAAAATGCTATTCAATTGTATTGAATTCACGCACGAAAGACGCCCGCATTGGGAGAGACAGTGGACTGAATGCCACAACAATTAATGTGTCAGTCCTTACGAGTGAGGCTTACCTCTCAGTGCTTTTTTCACATTCATATATAAATTATGTGGTAATCTTTAAAACACATCTGAGTCTGGCCTTCGCAGAGAAATGAGATTAAATTTAATTTTTTGAAAAGTTTTATTGGTTTGAAAGGGACTGTATGTTTGGTATCAGTGGTTGGAGTCGCGCATCACTTAATCTTATGTCAAACACACATCTAATGTATGGCTAATAGTCTATGAGAGAGAAGTTGTGTCTCGAATATTTAATATGATATAAGACTATGGTTTCAGATATTCTTCATACGACCTCTCAGTGAGAGACTGAATATAAATAACTTTTTTGTTTCACATGTATTTGACTTTCATATGTTTGGCTCACATTTGTACCTCACTCACTGTTTTATATAAATTTACAAAATATATTCAATTCAATAGATTTCCTCTCGATTTCAATAACCAATCCATGCGTTCACTCCCATTGGAAAACCACTTTTTGAACAGAATTATAGCGAAAATATTGTTTTTACAGAAGTTGTTATACAAGGAATATATTTATTGCAATCAATTATGCGGTATTATAGCAATAAAATTACTGAAGTAATGAGGTTTGGTTTTATTAGGCAAAGTGTTTCTCTGAATTAATTCACAGTCGATGTCATATAACCTTGGCTTTTATTGTATTTCACTATTTTTAATTGAATTTTCAGTTTATTTATTCTGGGTCTCAATTAGACGTTGTTTTGGTTTCTACTGTATATACTTTCGCATATTATTTAATCTAATTATAAACTAACGTAGATATAAATACATGTAAATAACTTACATATTAATAATAATATTTATGAATACTTACCACTAATTGTTGTTTAAATTGATATTTTGAGTTGACATCAAAATTAGATATCGCTATCAATTAGTCCAATGAAAAACAACGAATCGATGAGTTTTCAACCAATTTGTGACCATTTTATGTGAGTTTTAATGTGAGTCTAAAAATCGATTGTAATATTTCTCAAAAACATTGTAATATTGATATAAAAAAATAATATATTAGTACTGTATAATACTAGTAGTAAACTTTTTATTAAATTACATACATAACCTATAATTAAATTTCTAATTACTTATTCAAAATTTTTTAATCCTTTTCAAAACTATTCAATAAATCAATTGAGCTATAAATAAATCACTGTTTTGAATGAAAAATAAAACTTCATTAGACATTGAAAACAAATATATTGTCAAAACAATGTTGTTATTGAGATATAAGCTTGTCACAATTTGAAGTTCATCTAAATCTATGAAATCAAATCAGTGTTCATTGCATATGACATGAACTAACTTTTTTAGTCGGGAACTGGTTTTTACTCATAACACATATAAGACTTAAACAGAATTTGGGCAATAATTCTGTGGTTTTCACTTAAAAAAAACTTTCATACAATGTCTGCATTTAGACAATGAATAACACAATTTGTGGATAAATAAGTCATAGCCTTAATTAGAAATCAAGAAATGAAAATGAAAAAAGTGCATGCTAACCCATTATAACAATTGGGTGGAATCGGCAAAATAAATATTTATTCATATATCCCATTGTCTGTCAACGATGCCACTCTATTGTAGGGTTTTTAATGTAAACTCATTGAAAAAAACATACACTTCCTTCCCCTCCTATTCACCGGTAGTTTCAGAATAGTATTACATTATATTTAATATATTCTAGCATTATATGGAAGTAGAGATAACCCCTTATGGATATATTATGTCATTATAGTCGAGTGAAAAAGCCTATAAAAAGGCAAATGAATGGCTTGTATTCATTGAATGGATATTAATATACCAGTTTAGAGTCGATGATCCCGGTCATGTGAGCGTATTTAGTAAATACATCAAAAAGTTTTACTCTTTTCTCGATTTCAAGTGCTTTTAATATTGGGTATGAAATGCGAGTAAAATTATCGCATAATTTCGGTATAAACAGTGGAGTCGCGAGAAAGTCATTAAAATTCATAGCAAAGGTCTACGAGATTTATCTTGATGACAATTTACGAGTTAATGCATTTAAAATAGTCGGTATTATATAAGTTATAAATAATGTCATATGAAAATCCGAGAATTTTGTTTTTTTAATACTTTTTTAATACATGAATATTTCTGGGATTTATAGCTGTTTAATGAAATTACTTATATTTCGCGGAGACTTTGCAAACTTTTCAATGACAGTAATTGTTTGCTAACTATTGGATCAATGGTTTAGCATTAAGTGTCAGTCAAAATGCAATAAAATTGCGTTTTGGCATCAGATATACGCTTAATATGTGTTTATAATTTCAAAAATAAAATAAGTTTTGTAATAAAATAAAATTTTATATAATAAAGTTTTATATAAAATAATAAATGAATTAAGTGCCAAAAGTTTTTAAAAGTACCCTGTCCAGTATACAGTATATACAGTACTGATTAAATAATTAAACAAATTACTATTAAGCACAGTATTCAATGCAAAAGAGTGTTAGTTAAATGCAATGTTAAAACCACTCCATTAGCCATACCTATCGGTCGCGGATTCAAAGGCTTAAGAAATTATTTTTACTAAACAAATGAAACTATAGTTTCGTTTTGAGCAGCAATTCATCGAAAAAATATTGCTTTTAATGAACGCATAAATTCACGTTAAATTAGATTACAAATCATATTATGATATATTTTTTTCAAGTCTTAATTACTTAAGTAAAAATATATATACGATATAAATGAACACAAAATGCTATGTTTTAAAAAACAAAACTAAGAAATTCACAGCAAAAACAAAATCAAAAATAAAAATCATTACACATTTCACTGCTAACCAGTAACTCGAGTACAAAAAAAAGTTATATTTTTACAAACAATTTGTTACTTATTCTCATGAAATCGAAATAAATTACATAAACTTTTTAATAAATTATATAAAAAACAATGTCTAAAGTCAAGAGACATTATCACCGATTAACTGATCATCACTTTCCAGCTGTTGCTTCAGAAACGCGACATTAGTTTTGTGTTTTTTGCTGTTCTCGTGGTTAGCGAAGGCTTTGTCCGATTTGAAGGCCTTATCGCACGCAATGCAATACAGATTGTCCTCCACATCGCTATCGCTGCCACTGTTATTATCGGCCCTTTTGGACCTCTTATTGTTGTCCTCCTTATCCAAGTGGTGCTCAATCTCCTTAAGATCGTCCTCGAGAGTGGCCATCGATGTCCACTCGGACTCGCAGTAGTTCTCCAGCTCTTTATTCCGGGCCTCGATTTGCTGTTTCCGTAATAACTCTGTCTTTCGTTTGTTTTCCTCCGCTTTCGCCTCGAGTTTGCGGCGGTTTTGCGCCACTCTTTTGTCTCGTTTGCGCACAAACTCTACTAAATTCTGTATATAAGACACAAAACATCGGATCAGATGACATGCAAAGACATCGGCAATGAATACAAACCCTAATCTCTTCGTTGCGCTTCTTTTTGGCCGAATCTCTGATCTTTTTGTTCTCTTTGTCGATAAGACGGGCGACGCGACGGTTGGGCGCATCCGAGGCCTGGTATTTGTCTAAGTAGTAGTACGCCTTCGGCGTACAGTAGCTCATCCAATACGAGTAGAACCGGTGGACATCGCTATAGGGACTCTTCGAGTCGCCAAATGGTGGCGGAAGTTCATCGTCAGCGACGCCTTCGTCCCGAAAGGGCACGTCTTCGTCGGCGATGGCGTTGAATAGATTGCGGTAAACGGTGTAAAAGCCTTCCTCTTCATCGGTGTACGACGTGAAGCAGAATGAGCTGAAGTACGGGTAGACGTCGACCTCCTGGTCCACGATCTCGTCCCGGTCTTGACCGCGAAGTATGCTATCCCTGTGTTTGTCATACCTGTCCGCACAGATAGGGAGCAATGGTATAAGTGATGGTCAGTGGATCAGTATTAGTGATAAGGGTTACCATTTCCGCTCTCTTGGATCCGACAGCACTTCGTAGGCCTCCTGAAGAAGTTTGAACTCATTGTTAGCCATCTCCTGGTTGTCGGGGTTTTTGTCCGGATGTAGGCTAAGGGCTAACTGTCTGTACGTCTTCTTGATGTCATCCTCCGTGGCCTCCATCGACAGACCCATCACTTCGTAATAGCAGCGCTTCTTAGGCATCGTTTTCCGAGGGATCAGTCAATCGATGGCTAATGTGTTGTCTTCAATGGTAAACACGTTTGTGTCATATGTTTGCCATTCATTGACTCAATGCGTGAATGCGTTCACACATTACGTCCGCTTATTATTGACGTTTGCTTTCGCTGTAAAGCTTTTGCGTTGAAATCAATGGTATTTTGTTTGAATTTGTGTTAAGCAGTGAAGCATATATTGAGAGCAAAGGCGTGTAAACATAGTAGAGATTGTAAGACATTGAAACAGTGAGTTTCACACGAAAATTAGCTAGGAAGAAAAGTTTTAATGAATTTACAATTAGTTATATAAAGTTTTGCGTGTAAATTAGCATCGTGGTAATATTAATATATACTGGTACACTTTTCCAATCACTTATGGTATTATATTTTTATAAATATAATATTTAAGTATTAAGTTTATACAGGTATAAAAAAATTATTTAAATAACTTTCAAAGTTTGTATACCTGTCCCATATTTTATTATTACTATATTTGTAATAAAAAAAAGTTTTATAAAACTGCATTATCATATACATTACATGAAATTCAATACACGTTTTATTGCCCTGTAATCTAACCCACAATTTATAAGCAATATTTTATTTATAACAGGTGTTCACTTGTTAATAGACGTGTAAGGGATAGCCAAAAACTACCGGTGCTATTGTTCTAAACACCTTGTTGAGTAAAATAATTAATTAAATACTAACATAAACTATACCCAAAAGTTATGCCTTTATTATACTCGCATTGAAGTGCAATAAATAGTTTTATAACATGTTTTGTATGGAAATTCCTACAGAATATTCTGTGCGATATTCTTACCCCTGGAATATACATGCGCTACATATGCACTGACATAATATGTCAACAAAATACAGTGTATTTTGGAAATGAGTTTTACGTGAATTCAGTCTTTTATACAACTTTTCATTCGCCGAAACCAACGATGATATCGACCAGCGATCAGCTCCGGAGGTATAGCGAGCGTCCGGTTCGCGATTGGGATCTAATCGTCATATCGTCGAGGGATGAGCGCCAGCGGCGAGCCTTTGAGCGCCAGTTGACACAAATGCAGACAAACGCCAACCACTTCATCACCGATGAGTTCAAGTTTCTTGTGGTGTCTGACCAGAAGTTCACGGATGAGACGAGCGGTGAGCATAAGCTGGGGTCCGGCGGTTCCACTCTTCATATATTCCGGCAATTGGTGGCAGAGTTTGGTGATAGCTATCTGAAGACCTCGAGGATTCTGTTGATCCATTCGGGCGGTTATAGCCAACGATTGCCGCACTATTCAGTGTTGGGAAAGCTGTTCTCCAATCTGCCGATAGGTCTCAAGTCTTCGGATGGCAAGTATTGGACGGCATTGGATGTAAAGCTGGCACTCCTGGCGCCGTTCGCCGCACTCATGAGTGCAGGCGTTTGGGTGACCGCTTCCGACGATATTGTCATCTATTCGTACGAAGAGTCCGAGTTTCAGAGTCTGAAGAGATTCAGCGCCGATAGTATCGTGTGTTTAGGACATCCCTCCGATGTCCACATATCGCTCACTCACGGTGTCTATGTGTTAGATAATCGCGACATTGGATCAATTCATAAGACTTCTGTGTCACTGCACGACTGTCTGAAAGTATTACAAAAACCCACTTTTGATGAACTGAAGAGATATAAGGCTTTCGTGGCGAATGACACCAAAGAGTTCTGCATAACTGATAGCTCTTACTATTTGGGATCAGATGTGATAATCAATAGATTTCTCAAATTCCCGATCAATGACTTCAACGAAGAGCTCGACTGTTTCGGACACTTTCTATGCCCTCTGGGATCTGATCCCATCACTAAGACATCGGACAATCGTTTTGAGTCACCGCTAAATCATTTGCTAAATGGCTGTCAATTCAAAGTCCTAGTCCTAAGTGAGTCTCAATTTATTCATTTGGGAACTATTGGCGAATATATTCACGAATTGACTGATTATAAGGAGAAAAAGTTGGCGAAAAGTCTATGTTTCAAAGACCCGGACCTTCATCAGACAATTAAGGGAACCGTTATTTGTTCGCAAATTAATTCACATTCAGTGATAGACACGGAAAGTGTGTTAGAGTTTTGCCATTTTAAAGACATTGCGATCGAAACCCAAAATAATTTACTCTATAATTGTTGTGTCGATAAGAGTAGCGATATATCAGATAAAGCGATCAGGTTTCCGGCCAATTATCTCATATATACAGTTCCTGTCACTGTTGGCGATGGTAAGGGTTGGTGTACTTTGAGCTGTCAATTGAGTAGTCAATTAAAATCAAGTCTATGGTCGCGTAAAGTGTTTCCTGTTTGCGATACCAGCGCTCAGTCACTCATCTCAACACTGGATCTAATAAAACATGACTTCAATGAAAACCTTTTCGCCGATTCCCTGAAGCTATCGATGGCTGACATCAAAGACTACCAAAACATTGATGCGATCATTGAATATCACAATCAATTAAAATCTATTTTTTAGAAATAAATTTATTTATATGACTATTATATATGACTTTTGGAGATAAGATTTGCCTAATTTATGCTAATTATGTGAATAGTTTCATACGATTCATATGCATATCGTTATCATTACTGTGCAACGAATTAATCAATTTATTTAAAGTACAACTTTTTTGCAACTTTTATATTGCAGTGTAATGTCAAATGTAATTACACTGGTTATCTGAGATTATTGTCATTTTTGTGTGTAATTGATTTGATGCTAAATCCATGATATGTTGATTGCGTGACACAAAACATCAATTACCAATTTTCATGAACATGTATCGCCTATTGGTTCCCAAAGGCTTAAAGTTTAGTGAAAGTAATGTTTGATTGAGAATGTGATTAAAAGGTGTTTAAAAATATTTTTCTCAGCAATTTTGATGAGTTATGGGAATCATTGAGCTAATCATTAGATTAGCTGTTAATGCATAATAATCAGTGATGTATCGCTACTGTAATTATAATGACATAAACCCATCAAATATCATGTGATTTACAAATTCCAGTAATTCGTTATTTTATTAATTTTTTATACATTACTAATACATTAAATATAATTAAATTATTACAATTCATAATATGTTTTAATTCTAATATTTACACAATATATATAATTTATATATAAATTTAAACATAGAATTTAATTTAACAAAAGTTTTTACTGTAAATTTTACACATAAAGTAAATTATGGCTCAAAATAAACTCATGTTTTTAAATAAGAAATACACATTAATGGGGGTCAATGGTGGGCGATAATGTTGAGCTTAAATGTGTGCTTGATCACATAATTGTATAATAAGTTTCAATTGATTTACAAATTACATTCATAGGCCGTGAATGTCTGAATACCTAACAATGGGCTCTTTGTTAGCCGGATCTGTTAGTGGACTAGAGTTGAGGTTTGGTGTCGTGTTGGCCATCATTGTCGATGTGATAACAAAACACTGTCTGTTGTCGTCACTCATGAGACTCATCTGTTGGTCATTCAGATCCGATGTCACGTCCCGGTGTCTGTTGGACTCATCCATTGGACCCGAATTCATGTCCATTCGGCTCATGAGACTCGAGTTGTCGCCCATTTGTTCCTTCGGCTGATCGCTACTTATGTTCATATCAATGACTCTGTTGTTCAGCTCCGGGACTATCACTTCGTGGGCATCGCTGGCGACCACCCTTTCGATTGTCGTTTTCGACGCGACATCCGATTCAACGATCTTTTCGTGAGTCCTTTGGCTGTCACTCGCGTTCACACCGTTGTTGTCGCCAACTGTCGGACAACTCTTGACCGCAAAACTCGGCCTATCATTGTCTGCGAAAGCGGTTCCCTTCAGATCGGACTTGTCTTCGGCGGCTAAACCGACTTTCATCTCGAGAGGCACGCGAACACCCGATCCCTTAGCCCTACGGCCCGGCTGTTGACGCGTCTTAATCAGCGCGCCGGTAGTCTTGGGCGGCGCCGGCGTCTGTCGCTTCTTCGTCGACGACGGTGACGCCGTTTTCGTCAGTTTCGTCATCTGATTCTCGTGTTTCTTCTGATGGCGTCTCAGGTGAGAGCCGTCAGCAAAAGACGCCTCACAGCCCGCCCTTCAGGAGTCAAACGCAACAAACAATTAACACAAAAAACTACTCAAATGGCGACACAGACGGCTGTCCCGTACATACCAGTCACACTTGTAGGGCCGCTCCCCGGTGTGGGTGCGCTTATGTTTGGCGAGGTTGGCCACGTCGGTGCTCCGGTACTCACAGCCCGGCCAATCGCAACTGTACCGCTTGTCGCCCGTATGAGCCCTTTGGTGCCGCTTTAGGTCCCGGAGATCGCGGAAAGACTTATTACAGTTGAGCCAACCGCAGGTGTACGGCTTCTCGCCTACCGTTCCCCATCGAAATCAATTGATTAATCACTCAAATGGACAGTTAGGTTATGGGTGACATACCGGTGTGCTTCCGCTTATGGCCCTTGAGATCGTGCGCCCAATTGCTACGATAGGAACAGTTGGGAAAATCGCAGACATATCGCTTGAGGGCCGTCCCATCGGCGCCCACCTCCACGGTCTTGGGTTTAGGCGCCGACCGCCGCTGTTTCGGTGGTGTCTGTCCGCTGTTCGGCTGATTCGTGGCCACAGGGTTCGGGTGAACGCCGTTCCCACCGACGCAGCCGTTGGGGCCCATAATCAACGCCTGTTCCTCCCGTTCCTTCTTCTCCAGCATCTTCCTGATCATGAGGTACTCGTGTTCCCAGATTCGGACCTACAGTTCCCACACGTACACAAGCATTAGATCCATGAGTTGGTGATAGTATTGTGTCCAATGTATCAGTCATTGGCAGCAATACTGGTATTAATTATTCATAACATTATAAAACTTTTTTAAAAACTGATTATCGGTTTAGGGAAATGTCAAACACGGATCAAATGAGTGATAAGAAATCAGCTGTCAATTGACAACACGTGGTGTCATTGGGGGGACTGATAGCCGGGACACTTGTATCATATAAACGGATCCATACCTCGGACTCGACGTCCGGCAGTGACCACCGATTCTTGTCGTAGTCCTTGAGTACCGCCACATGTCTCTCGAGAGTGTACTTAAACTTCTCGAGCGCTTCGGACAACTTCTTCTGTAAGTCGAGATCAGCTCTGAGCCGATCGTTGTCTTTGGCGAGCATTTGGTTGGCTTTCTGCAAGTCGTCGATCTCTTTGGTCTGACGACAGATCAGTTGGTCTTTCTCTTGGATCACGCAATGAATGCTCGGGTTATTCAGTGTATAGATGTATGAGTCCATCGCTGGTGGGCATCCACTTCTGAGGGAGGTATCGCTAGTTTGGGAGGGAATGCCAGTCAACGCCACTGAACAGACATTTTACTCGCATTTACGCCACTTTTACTCATACTCTCTGTGACGTCGCTCTCTCTCTCCGACTCTCTCACAGTCTCTCTCTCTCTCTCTCGCATATGCGCTCTCATAGAGAGAGAGTAGACAACCAGTCGTGACATCACTGCATATGAAATGCAAATACTTTTTGTATGCTTTTAAGAGTTGGGAACAAAAAGTATCTAAACTTTTGCGCTAATAATGACCACAAGAATGATATCTATTGTCTGGAAGTGTCTGTCACTTTTGGATCAGTTAGTTGTCTGAAGACATATAATGAGTATTTGTTTGTTTTGAAAGTTTTACACATTTTTTCCTAGCTTTCAAAGTCAATGGTATTTAGGATTTACATTGACTTTGATTTTTTCGTATGAAATATCGACATAATTAGCAATTAATGCGATAATTATGCAGTAATTATAGGGTTTTCGTAATATATAGACAAATATGTGTAAAAGTTTTCAATACATTACAAATAATTAACTTCTAGTTTAAAACTTTTTAAAACTTATGTTTATTACTACAGTATAAAATATTTTTATTATAAATTACATAACGTTTAGCTTAAAGTTATTTTTAGGAAAATTATATTTTGTTTTGCATTTCAAACTGCATTTCAAGGGACTCAGTGTTTTTTGGTGGTGATTATAAAGAGAAAACATAAATGTATTATAAATTAAATTTGTTTTTCATTATATAAAAAGCTAATTTAAAAATGGTTATTAAAAGTTATTTTCTTATTTGCATCATAAATATTAAGATTATGAATAATGTCTCAAATATTGGTCAATAATATTCATGGGAAACACTTTTACGATAATTTGCATAAATATTTTAACATGATTATATAGTAGTAATATTACTTTAAATATTAGAATACAATTTTTACTATCAAGTTTTGTAAATGTACCATAATTTTAGCATCTTAAATATTGTAAATACTGTAGTATTAGCAACATAAATTTATTTGCATATAAAAAACTAACTATATACTGTATAATTACATTATTACTGCCATTAATACCCTGATTATTGTCATAATTAGTTTGCGATTCTTCGCTTGTCTGCCCTAACATTTGTACCCATATTTGTATCAAAGGTCTGTCCGTTTCATAGGGACAGTCGTGTTTTTCAGCGTTTCCAATGGCTTATGGTGGTGGTGATCACCATGACCATTATCATCCAGGAACTTAAGTGATGCCGAGTTAATACAATAGCGTTTGCCAGTGGTCTGGGGTCCATTAAAGACATGCCCCAAATGGCTGCCACACCGGGCGCAGGACACCTCAGTCCGGGCCATACCGTGCGATAAGTCGACAGTGAGTTTGACTTTAGAGGTGTGGACGGGACTGTGAAATGACGGCCACCCGGAGCCGCTGTCATACTTGGAGTCCGATGGGAACAGCTCTTCGCCGCAAACCACACAACAGTAGAGACCGTTGTCATTGAGTTTGAGGTATTCGCCGGTAAAATAATAGGATTTTAAACATACAATGACTGTAAAAAGCTTTGAAAAATATTTTAAAACAAATCAAATTAATTTAAAATTAAATCTAATAAAATGTATTAAATACATAAACAGTATGAAAATTGTTTCACAAAACATAAATTACTTGACGTTTGTTAGACATACTTATTTACATACATACATAGATAGAAAGCAAGGTCAATTTAAGACAATCAAACAATAATTACTCAATGATTATCTTGTTAAAAAGTAAATGATAAGCAATATTGTAATTAATAGTAACACACAGTATATACAGGTATATATCGGTCTATCGTTTTCCGATAATAACCACAAGATATTCATTGTCTGGAAGTGTCTGTTACTTCGGGAACCACTTATTTGGCTCAAGACATGCACTGACACTGTGTTTATGTTTTGAAAAAAATTTTATGAAAGTTTTTACACATTTTTCATAACTTAATGATATTTCATAATAGTATTTATGATTTACATTGACTTTGAGGTTTTTGTATGAAATATCGATATAAATTTAAATAGCAATTAATGCGATAATTATGCAGAGCTGTATAGTATTTACAAGTGATATGACCCAGGTTCACGAAAACAATAAAATGTTCATAATTTATTTCCATGATAAAAACAACTTCATTTAATTAATTACAACAAATTCTTACAAATAATTAACTGGACAATAATTGAAATGAAAATAAATAAATTAAATTAACAAATAAGATTATACAAAAATAAGCGAAATAATAAAAATAACATTACATTACAAGTAACTTTTGAAAAAGATATATATATATAATATATATAATATATACGGTATACATCTTAACAAACAAAAAAACTATTTTATCTATTTTAACCTTGTCTACTTTATTTTAAGTACGCAACTTTCGGCATAAGGGAGCTTGCTCGTCCGGTTGACCAGTCGGGTGACTACGTCGGTGACCAGTTTGGTGACCATTTTGGTGCGGATGCTTTTGGGAAGATTTGGTGGCTCTGTTCGGGTCCCAATCGTGCACAGGCCCTTAGTCAGACAGTTGGCGAAGTCCTTGCTGCACTGTTCCGCCAAATCTTGGTACAAATAAAATCCTACATCAGCCACACATTTATCCTTTGGCTCCATACGATGGAGCACTTCCTCCACGAAATAGTCTTTGTCCACAAGATATTCGATATGATAGAAACAATCTCTCTTTCGCTCCGTTTGTGACTTTCCTTTTGAATCGTCTCTTGAACCGTCGGGCCTATTGAACATACTGTACCTCCGGGACCGCCATATGTGGGCCCTAGAGTCGTCATAATTAACACATAGATTAATATAGCGCTCATTATTTGGTAGTTGAGTGTGTGTTTGTCGGTAGATGTTAGTGAGGGTTGTTTAGTTAATTGGTATAAACGTGAATGTGTATTGGTGATTTATAATATTTATGTAAATTTATAATATATATAAGTTCACAGAAATGAAAATGTTTTATGGGAAATTAAAAATTTAATGATTACATATTATATGACACGCAATTGCTATGTGTGGTAATTAAAATGTGATATGTCATATAATAAGTAATTAAAAGTTTATTAAGTGGATATAAACAACAACTAAAATTACTTTAACTCGCAGTGAGACCCATCAATACAGATCTAATTGTATGATAGGGCCTGTGGTCTAGTGGTTAGGATACGTGGCATATAGGTGTCGTGGTAATATTGGGACCAGGGTTCGAGCCCCGGCGCCCCCTTTTCATACGATCTGTATTTTCAATTATCTATCAATATTTATAATAACTAGAGTATTATTTTTAATAACTATGTCTATGCTCGTGGCATTTATAGTGTTCAAGGGGGTAGGTAGTCAAAATTATAATTAATTATTACATATTTCCAAAATTGATTTATAACTTAATAATAATTGTGAAATAAATGATTGTACTTACAATTTAATGCGCTAACTATGATGATTGAAATGATCAAGTAAAACTTCATTTTAAAACTATTATTAAAAAAATTTAAAAATTTCAACTTTTACTATGCTCTACCAAAATGTAAATGTGTTTAAAATATCTGTAATACAATATATATATATATTTTGTATATAAAAAATGGTGTACATAATTTAATTAGAATATAAATTATTTAGTTTAATTAAATTAATTAATAAGATAATTAATTCCTTTTCTTTATTTGATACAAAATATTAGTAACTTTTTCTAATATTCTCAAAAACTCATTAGTAAGTTGATATTAAAATTATCTAATATTTATTGAAATAATTGAGATGTTTATTATAATTATGAATAGGATTTATGTGTGAATGCCTACCCTTTATATTTTATATTAATTGGTAACTAAATTGTGAATTTAATTTAATTCGGTAGAAATTCAACTTCTACATTATTATAAATATATTAAAAATTTCATGAATTACAATAGATATTTTTAATAAAATTAATTAAATCATAATTTTGTAATAAATATTTTAACTCTACTTTAATTCTGTATTTATGCAACAATTATATTAAATTCAATTACAGTAACCATTACATAAGAAATCTTTGACTATTGCTATTGCTATTCAAATACTGCTTAAAATATAACTACATTTACTGTATTTATAATTGTGTGAAATTGCATTAATAATTACTATTTTCTTATACTGTATTTTAACTTATTTTAGTTTTTTGAAATTCTTTAAGAAGAAAATATAAACTTATTAGCAAGGCAATAATTATAACTTATGGTTTAGTAAAGTAAAAATATTTATATTATATCTAATTATTAATTATATAATGATAGCGCTTGTTAAGAATGAAACATATACTTACTTAATAAGTTATTAATAATAACATTAAATTAAAACATTAAATATTATCATAAGTTTACAAAATACTTAAAGTACCAAGTATGAATTAAATGAACATCTCATAACATCTTATCCCTGATGATGGTCACAGTGCTGACCGAAAACGTTCGGCAATTATATTAATTTTATTTTTAAGTCATTTTCACTGATAATATATAAGAGGGTTTAAAATCAACAACCAGCTTCAATTTCAGAATAGACTTAATTATAAAGGTATTAATACTATGAGCTCAATACAGGTTTTAACCAGGGTATACAGGGTACATACAGTGCTAATTTTATGAATTCCTATAGCAGTTTGTGTTTAATAACTCATTTAATGAAACCGTTTTTGCGAGTATTTTTTGTTAACATTTTATTTTAACAGTAATCTTGAGGCTAAACATTAGTACAAAATATTGAGTGTACAAAATATAACCAAGATACTTTGCGTAAAATACTCTAACAAATAAATACATCTGGAAATCAGTTGTAAAACTGAAACACAAACTTAGAAACTAATCAATTGTTTCACTAAACATTAAATATAAAAACTTTTTACAAGTACTGTAATAATATTTATTAAAACATTGTAATTACTATTAAAACTGGCTTCCTCAAAAACTATTCATAAATATCATTTAACGATTTTATCGAAAACAAACCAAAAACATCCTTGCACCAATTTTGTACAATAATTTTCAATATATATTATAATGCTAGTATCTTATAATTATCTATTGTACTAGGTGTTTCGCAAACAAAATACATACAAAACAAACTTTTTTATAAAATACTTTTATCCGATCAATACTTCTGGGGATGAGCTGTGAAACTGAAACACAAATAAAAGCTATAAACTAATGAAAATGATTTCAAACCTGTTTTTCTCGCTATTTATTAATTAATGGCTTTATTTTACTTTTCATTTTACAAGCCATGGATTCGCCGGAGATTTTGTTTCTGATGTTTAATACGAAACAAAAAACGATTTATTAGTTTATCGATAGTATAGGAAAGACATCATAATTAATGGCTTAGACTACCGGCCCATCGGATTTGCGAGGGTTTGTTATATACACGGGGATCGGGAGTTGACATCCAGTTCCTCGCACACCATACACACTGCTATGGTATTGAACTCAACCCACGACTAGTCGATAGTTATCTGAAGAATGAGTGAAAAAATTAAATTTCAAATAAATTTTAGTCATAAAGTCGACGGAAATATACCGTATTCCCGCGCAACAACCGGCATGCCGTTATAAGTGAGGCTGATCATTTTTACAAAAATTGCTTTATGATACCCTACCGGCATGCCGGTATAAAGTGAGGCACATATTTATGAATTGTCATGCATAAAGCGATACTAGTACTAATTTTACTTATATTTATATATTTTTCTAGCATAAACCTATTTATACAACAAAAATAAACTGTAAAATGTTAAAATTAATAGGAAATTTGGTTTATATTTATTTTTAACGCATTTATATAACAAAATATTAATAATTTTTAAAATATTAAAAACATATTTTAGACCTCACTTATTACGGCATGCCGTTATACCCCGGGGTATAACGGCAGTCTCATCAACCTCACTTTACACCATTCCTCGCACACCATACACACTGCTATGGTATTGAACTCAACCCACGACTAGTCGATAGTTATCTGAAGAATGAGTGAAAAAATTAAATTTCAAATAAATTTTAGTCATAAAGTCGACGGAAATATAGTATTATATCGAGAGGTGTGGGAACTCCTACCCCCGGGAATGGTAGTATAAATTTCAGGTTTACTTTTGATTATCATTTTATTGACAGAAATTGTTTGCCAAACAAAATAAATAATATTTTATGTAAATTTTAATTATCTAGCATAAATTTTGCCAGTAATTTATTGGGATAATTTATCCTGGATAAATATGAGTTTCATTCATTAGTTTGAATAAATGAATACTATGGTATTTATATAAATAAAAATATTTTTGATATATATAATAAATAATATGACACAAAATGTTATCAAATTAATAAATAATAATTAATATTTTAAAAAAGTTTTATTAGATTAATGTGTGAATAGTTTCTCAAAATTAAATTAATATGAATTCATTAATAATATTTTATGTAAATTTTAATTATCTAGCATAAATTTTGCCAGTAATTTATTGGGATAATTTATCCTGGATAAATATGAGTTTCATTCATTAGTTTGAATAAATGAATACTATGGTATTTATATATATAATAAATAATATGACACAAAATGTTATCAAATTAATAAATAATAATTAATATTTTAAAAAAGTTTTATTAGATTAATGTGTGAATAGTTTCTCAAAATTAAATTAATATGAATTCATTAATTTAATTAAAAATAAATACTATGATATTTAAATAAATATTTTTTGATATAAATAACATTATATAAACTTCAATTTAAATTAATAAAACACAACATGGCAAAAATTTTACACATAAAAATGAGAATAGATTTTTAAAATTAAAATAATACAAAATGATTCAGTAGTTTAAAAATAAATACTATTGTATAATATTTTATAAACTACATACTACTGTACATACTTAATAATTAATAAATAACTATTACAGTAAAAAAAAGTTAATGATTAACTCGAAAGTAAATTAATAAACATCATACTACAGTATTAACATGGCAACAAAGTTTTAACCATAACTGTGAGAAAGTTTATCAACAAAAACAAACAAAATTAAATTAATTAATCGATTGACTGATCAGCGAAAGTGTGTAACAAAAACTAATCGACTTTTATTCGCCGCAAAAATCAAATCAATTTTCAGTTTTATTTTCAGATAATCCGCTGAATATTATCCGTATTCTCCTTCTTCGAGGTCTCTTCGATGAGTTGTCGGAAGTGTTGCCGACATTCATGTCTCTTCAACTTCATGGTCGGCGTCAGGAAACCGCTCTCCTGTGTGAAGGGGTCGCTGTGGAGGGCGATGTCCGTCACCTGTATTATCGCCACACATGTATCACCACATAAAGCATTTACCAAAACATTAATCACCAGTAAAAATATGATTTTTTAACACAAAGATTATGATCAGAGATGTCACGAAATGTGTGCACAAAAAACCTGTTCACTAGTGGATAATCCCTCGCGCCGTCCGATGTTTAGTATATCGTTTAACACGGTTTTGATGAATGCCTATCGAAACGATTGCTATTTAATTAAAATACCTAGATAATAGATAAGTAATCAGGGTACTGACCACGTTCTTGCAGGCTTCGGCGGCCGATAATAGCATGTTATTCTCGGCGCACCACAGGTTTATGCCGTCCACGTCCGGTATGACGATAGCTATTAGTCCCGTCTTAATAGGGAAATGTAGTTAAAAGGCATTAGTTTTTTCAAGTTTTGTTAATTTGCGGCGACATTACTGTACAGTACTTGGAAATAGTTGGCGTCCACAAACACCTGTCCCACATATTGCGACTGGATGTATATGTTCTCGACCTGGTACAATTAACAAATGTTAGTGGGTTTTCTCATTAAGAAATATAAATTAGTAATTAATGGTAATTACAGAGAGAGAGAGAGAGAGAGAGAGAGAGAGAGCATAAAATTGACAACAAATAAATCATACTTATGTAACATAATACTAAAAACTTCTTGAAAACTAATATGAGGTTTAATATTAATTTTTAAAATAAATGTATAGTAATAAGAATAAATGCATAATTTTAAATAAGATTTTGTTTTTAAACTTTAAATACTTCACTGGTACTATGTTAATATTTTTAAAAACATATTTAGTGATTAAACTACCAATGCTGATAACAGTTTAGGAATATTTTGCTAATTTAATTAACTTAATATAATTAAAATTATTTCTTATAAATAATTTTCATGTTATCCTACCAAAAGGACTTTTGTCCTAGGACTTTTTAGGGCTTTACACTTTTGGTTTTACTGAACCATTAACACACTCGTTTATGCAGCGCTGTTGTACCCGGGTACATTTGTTTATAATCCTTTTACACTCATTGAGTACTTTTTTATTTTTAGCCCTTTTACACACTTTTAATATGGATATTCATGTTAATATTGAACTTAAAACTAGACCTAAAACTATATTAGTATACTTTTATAGTAAGTTTATATCTGACAATATTTTATATAAAATACAATTTTACAGTTTTCAAAATAAATAATAATTATTTATTGTATAAAAATTTTTGAGAGAGAGAGAGAGAGAGAGAGAGAGTGGACCCAAACCTTGTCCGGACAGATGAACTCCAGTTCCAATGAGTTACTCAACTGAAAGATATGCTCCTTTCGGTCCATTATCTTAAGTGTTCCGTTCTTTTCCATTATAATTATATTACGAAAACATTTTTGTGGCCATAAAAACACAAATAAATGCAAATTCTTAGTACGAAAACTCGTGACTTATGGGGGCATACCTTAAGCCATTGGCCGACATCGCCGGTGTGATACCAGCCCTCCTCGTCAAACACGCGTTCATCGGATCCCTTATAAAAACCCGAGAAAACGTTGGTTCCCTTAACGCAGATCTGGTGGTGTGATTGGCCCCCAAAAACATAGGGAGAAAAAACACTTTAGTTTTTATTTGTTTTACATTTCGAGAGAACGGGAGAAAAAACTTTTTTCATTTTGTTTTTGCTTTCTCTGTCTCCTCATTGAAATTCAGTCGAGAAATCGTTTTCCCTCTCAGGTATGTATGTAATGGGAAAGGGATGCCACTTATGTATGTATATACCTCTCCGATGCCATCTCTGTCGGCGATTATATTCAAATGCTTAACGTTTACTAATTTAACGGAATTACAGCTTAGCGGCGGACCCAAAGAGCCTGCGAAATGAAATTACATTTATTATAATTTTGTAGTAAAAAAATACTTTTTGTTAGTTTTAGTAAGAGTTTTTGTTATTGCTTTCACTTATATACTAGGCTTATATAATACACACACAATTGGGTATCGGTTTTCAGTGTGTGTGTGTGTGTTTTTTTATAATCATTGCTTAATCACGTTCATAATTATCGATAGAAATTATTCCCTGGTTATTGACTCCGAGAGAAATAATGCATTTTTTTGTGTAGTATGTATAGCAAAAAAAGTTTATGTAACTTTTTACTCGCGAAACATTATACTTGTATTATGTTATCGATTTAAATTATATAATATATGCAAACATTTGTATATATGCTCAACATTTTCTTAAATAACATTTAAAAGGATTGTTTACTATTAAGATGATGATGAATGCATTTAAATTTATATATTATATTATATATTTATTTGATTGATTGTGCATTGAGTGAGTCATCGGTTTTGAGAGAAATTTAATTTATATTTCAATTCGCTAAACAAATTTAAATGTTTATGCGATCCTAATATAACAAACAGGATATATTATATAAGTATTATACTACTAGTAGTGTGTATATTATATACGAGTTATGATTGTATAATAAATTATAATAACAGCGAATAAATGTCTATAAATATTCAGAGTCCCCGAGTATTTGCTACTCAATTGTTTCGTACGGGTATGGGTAGGAGGGGAATGGTATGCCATGTCTTACCGGATGATTGATCGGCGCAATGGGTTAGAGTTACAAACGCCGAGCACTCCGTCAAACCATAGCACTCCAAGACCTGGTGATGGTTAAGACATTATCATTACTATTGCCATTAGTTTTGCTATTTTTTGCACTTCATTATAAGTCTCATTAAAACACACACACAGAGCGTAATCCCAACCAATCAATTAAACTAAATTTCATAACTTATTCACAAAAAAATATACTAATAATTATTATGTATATAAAAAGTATGGTATAAAAAATATGTGTGTAATTAATTCGTTTAAAAAATAAGATAAAAATAAAGTTATTTTTGGCAAATAATTCTCGGCTCATAAATATATTCATTATATACGGTGTATGTATGTCCCCATCAATTATGAATCGCCTAATAAAAAAAACTTTTGCAAACTTTTTTGTCGGCTATACTATCGCTCATTAAATACACGGACAGAGAGTTCACACCCGATAAGCGCTTTGGCTATCAGTCTCTTAATGCAATTAATTGGTATACAAATTGTGATAAATTTAGACAAATTGGCTGCTCTCTCTCTCTCTCTCTCTCTCTCCCTCTCTCTCTCTCTCCTAACCCGACATCCAAACGAATTGCGTATGAAATTCAAAACAGTCGACGAGATTTGCGATGAGCCGGATATTAGTAGCTTTAGGTTTCCGCCCAGAGTTTGCTTCACCGTTTTGAACACCACTTTATCCCATATACTGCTGTTGGACGAGCCGACCGCTCTGTCATTATTGTACGTAAAAAAACACAATACATAACCATAAATGCATTTTTATAGGCAATTAATTTATGAGATATATAGTACTGAAAAGGGTTTTTAAACATAAAGACATTCAGAGGTTTACTTCAAAAAATCCGGTTGTTTTGACTTCAGAGCGATGTCTAGCACTCGACTCCGAACCCAATTGCCCCTCACTTTTGAGATGACCTTTCAATTGAATGCAAACACAGTTTAAAGCGATTTTTTCGTACGACAATAGCCGCAGATATATATTAATTTTTATATATTATATTATTGTTATATAATAATAATAATAACTCTATTATAAAGTCGGTTGAGAATCCTGGGGACGCAGTACATGATTGTCGGCATCAAAACCTATTGTATAGCAAAACAAAGGGTTTTCTCCTTTAATAAAACTGTTTTGAAAAAGTTTTTTCCAAATCAAAGCATAACATACCGGGAGATCACGGGACAGGTCTTTGAAATCACCGGAATAGATGCCAATACGGCCGCCACTGTAGAACATACAGGCCTTTCAGTCCGAGGGAAATACAGTTAATATAATATAACTTATTATATGAAATACAATGAGTGAAAAGCATTTTGTAATTAAGAGTTTGAGAGAAGTTTTTGTTTGTTTAACAAGAATACGAAAAAAAAATAATAATAATATTTAGTTTTTAATTACTTTTAATATACGTTCCCTTAATTGCGCGGACGATAAGTACGCTATCATTGTCTCGTCCTTAAGATTAAAATGCGAGTCCTGTTTGCGATGAAATAATAAAAATTATAATTTGTTTTACTAGTGAACACACATCTGACAGATAAATATAAAATTTTTAAAACTATTTTTTTTGTGCGGTTTTTGTTTCTCTCGGTTTTGTATTTGTATACCAAATGTAAGAGAAGTCCAGAAACGGCGGCCACGAGATTGCCGTGAGTTAAGAGCGCTGAACGATATATGCAAACGAAAAAAAAGTTTTCAAAAACTTGTTGTTTTGTTACTTAAAATTGTAGTTTTAGTTGTGTTTGTTGTTTAAACTTTATACACATGTATACCTCCTTTAGGATTTCCTGTCGTTCCACTCGTATAAGAGATGACTGAAGAGTTTTTTGGTGATGAAAAATATGATAGAAAATTGTATTAAACTTTTTTTGATACATTTTTTTTTGATGACATCTTATATGAGATAATGTAATACTCGCTAAATCTGTGGGTTTTGGGATCTGTAATCAGGGAAAAATTGTTTGCTTAATACACAAAAATAATGAAAATTTCACACAATTTCTGTCGGTTTCTCACCACAAATGTCTGCAAATCGACGATTCCCTGTCGCTATCGATACGATGACAACGATATTCATTATAACGAAAAAAATTCACATCAATTTTCCTATAATTTCTCCAAAAAATATTTACCTCGATATCTGTGAACGCGAATAATTTAATCCCTATATATTACATATATAAATAGTATGTTAGTTAGTATAGGAATGTCATATTAAAAAAGACACTAAGAATCGACACCTTTTTTCTCAGCCAATAGTTTGGTTTCGGGATACAAGTGATCGCTGGTGAGGATCAGACTCTCGACTTTATACCTGACGGCCGTGAAGTTCATCACCTGTTTGGCCCTTTCGTTGGAGTCCACGATCACGCATTTGGGCTCAACTGAGCGCAAAAGTTTTCATTTTAAAAATTAATTTTGATATTAATATATCGATAATGATCTCGATATTAAGTCTAACTTTGCTGAAAAATGTATTTCCATGTATTGGATTCCGTGGTGTCAAATATGGGCACCACTGCCATCGAGTAGTGATAGCACGCGTACTCAGCGATCATTAGCTGATATTTTTTAATTAAATGTTTTTTAAATCAATAAATCTTTCGATTAAATCAAATCAAAAGCTTAATACGAAAAGTATATATACTTTGAAATTATTTCTGCTGAAGAAAGCAATGATCGTCTTATTGTTGGGTTCGCAGCCAATGGACACCAAACCTGAGCCGAAAGTTTTCATACGAAATAAAATCTATTGATATGTGAGACGAGAGAAAAGATAATAATATTTTTTAATGAATGCCAGCATTTCAAGTGACATTGACTTTGAACATTGATTTCAAAAACCTGACTATAAGTAGACCATTCGTAAGCACTGGTGTACGGACTAATAAGGCCCAGGCAGTGGTTGTCCCCTATAATTATGATCATAAATGTGATAAGGGAATGGTGCTTTTTTCTACTTAAATGTCAAGGAAATGGTAGGTTTTGAAAAAACATAGTATAACACAAACTCGATATCTTATATCCGCGATAAACACAATCCAATAAAGTCTTGATCTGCGGCTCGCATGTCAGCAAATACTTGTCCCTCTCGACCATCGCTGAGCACCGGGTGCTCTAAATAGGCGATCAATTAATATTAATTAACAATTTATTTACTGTATATATACATGGGATAATTGTTGGCAATTAAAATGCCACAAATACCTTGCTGATCACTCGGGACTGATTATTCAAGTCGATCATAACTGGCGTTTGGTTGACGTCCACATCCACTACAGTCTCCGACGACTTCACAGACGCCTCCAAACTATGTGCTGATGTGTTGTAGGAATTGGTTTGGGTTTGCATTTACTGTGTGTATAGTATATATCACTAGTAATTATAATTAATAATAATATTTAATGGTAATAGACATTCACTTGTAATGTATGTTTCAAATACACAGGAATAGCGGTGTATTTCTATGTATTTCTTATGTGGATGTTATGGTTTCGGTATAAAAAATAACAAAAATATATTCAGAAAATTCGCTCAATTTCTTGACTTTTTTTTATTTCATATGAGTATTCATTAAACGATAAATGCATTCAAATACAGGTATAGATAGATATGATATAAGACTATATTAATAATCGTAAGACTGCACGCAAACTAATAATTTTAATTTTAAACTCAATTCTTATGCGTAAACTTGAAGTTCAGTTTTAGGTTTTGTTTTTTGTGTTTACTATTTAAAGTTATAATTTAAAGATTATTTATATATAATATGTTTTTTATTTTGAATCATATGCCTGCGAAAAATAGTTTTTATATATACTATATGCATATCTGATGTTTAAAATAAAATTAATATCAGATTAGTTGATAGATTAGATATTAAAACATTGCGAAACACCAAATTTAATTGAATTTATATTTATTGATTTGTAAATTAAAATTATCATACGTTAAGACTTGTTTTAATGAGATTCTGGTTATAAAATGTAAATCCCGTTCCCCTTTATATGCTTTTGCGTTCATCTGGTGTTAATTCGCTATAATTTATAATTAATGAAACATTCATTGATTTTTATACAGAAAACTTCAGTTTCAATGAAAGCTATTCTCTATTGAAATGCTAATGATTTCTATTCAATAGAATTCATACGAATTGTATTGTATTTGTTTGACATTTGAGGTAAATTGCGAAACACTGACTGAATTTTTTTGGGATATTTGTGTCAACTCTTGTCGATGGTCTGCAATCTCTTAAACTAAAGCCATTTTTGGTTAAGAAGTTGCTGTCAATTCCAGTGCCCTGTTATGCAGCGCCTGGTGATCCAAAACCACTTACTATACTAACATTTCCAGAGGTGTCTGGGCTCTCATGATAAGCATCAGAGTCTGTGGTCAGAGCTCTTAACCCCTCAAACGCTTTGCTAACTTCATTGATATCCTTATAACCACTTTTGATGAGAGAATAGACAAGAAACTTTAAGCTCTTCCTTGAACTCCAGGCGCTGCGCGAGTCGAGTAAACTCGTGAGTAGTCTCACACCACATATCCATATCCTTTGATATCTTCATCGGCGGTAATACTCAGTCCTCACCGAAGTTTCTGTACTAAACTGTCAGACACTTCTCATCCATAGCCTGCATACCATTCCCCGTGAGATATATTATTCTTCGTGAATGATATGCCAACCCATCCATCAATTGAGACAACAGATGCATGAATAGGCGCTCATCTAATTTACATGTCGTCCACCCATTCCTCTAAATTATACTCAAATAACTTCATTACTACATAAATGTTTAAGTTTTGAGGGCTGAGGTATGGGCGACAGGACTGGTCGGAAGGGATACCTCTTGTCTGAGAAATTCTGGTGGAAATGAGTTTATGAAAAGTCTTTTCCCTTTCATTTCCTATGCTTTCATCTTCCGGTTCATTCAATTCAGTGATGGGAGTGAGGGTTGGGAGGAAAGGGTCGGGTCTAACATTTAGTGTGCCATTACCTGCTGTCTGTCCCCTAATATTTAGTATGAAAGGCATATTACCCTCAAAAGTAACTGAATTATAAATAATTGTTAAGACTTTTACTTTTGATAAGCATTTTTCAGTTTAATACAAATAGTTTTGTTATAAAAATAATTATTTTTATATTTCTATTCATATTAAACACTATTTAAGCGTTTGATTGACGACTAGAAAGTCCTTAAACATTATTATTGAATGCATGTATAAATCAAAATTTGAAAGCAATTTCTATCGCATAAGAAAAAAGTTTTTCATTTCATTTGAATAAAATCTTAATATAAAATTTTTTGTTAGTTTTTGTTTGTAAATGAATTTATTATTAAATTAAACGATAAGAAGTGAAATCCTAAAGATAAGAGTTGGGAGTAGTCTCGCAAAAGTTGATTCAAATTAAATTTACAGCAATATATATATTTATTACCCCGATCATCTAATCATTATACTCGCGAATTCAGTGACTATTTTAGTGTTAAATAACGCTATGTTTGTAACGATTTATTTGCCCGATAATGTTTTATGGCTTTTAATTTGAATATATCTTAATGTTTTTGTTTATTATTATTGATAATAAAATAAATTTGCCGTGTAACTTTTATTTGGGAAAGCGATTAATTTGTTTTTTACTATTTTTCTACAATTCTTTGAATGTATGAATAAAATCTAAATAATTATTATACGAGTAAAAAAGCTATACATACGGTAATAATCAGAGATAAATCAACTTGGTATTGAGAAATGTCGGCTATAAATCTTTGGCAAACATTTCTATTACTCAATACAAATGCAAATATGACTTATTTTTTGAATTGCTATTTATGTCGGGAGTGTATTATATTTAAAATTTTAATTCAATGTTAATGTTGGGCTTAATGTGATTTGAAAAAAAGTATTTTTATGATTAAATCATAAATCGATTAATAGCCTAATATTATTTGTGTTATTTTTTATTAAATTGTGATAAATTTATATATATTTATAGTTATTGTGAGAAAAAGTATTTTTTTAATTAATTCAAAAGCGCAACAAAAATATAAAAATTGATAAAATTGTATGATTTATTTGCAAGTATTTTATGAAATCATTAGAAAATTTATTCCCAATTACTACAAGAGTTTATAATAATTTTTTGCTAGAGATAAGGGCAGCCAAATGATTAGCTCCTATGCCTTTGGCTTACATTTGAGTATTGAATACGAAAATTGAGGTTTAATTTCACGAGACTATTGGTTAAACAGTAAATCAATTAGAAATCAATTTAATGCCATGAATATAGCATTTGGTGTATGAATTTTGCTATACTTTGCGATACACACTATAAATATATAATTAAAGTAATTTATCGGCGATTCATATTTAGATAAATATTAAATTAAACAGTATTTTCTTGAGATGAAATTGTGATTTTGCTTATGTTTTGTTTGCTACCCAGACATCAACCAAAAAAATTATATAAAATAAATGATTAGTTATTTTGGGTTTATAATATAAACTTTATATAAACTCATTGGTTGCTGATCTCAATCGATACTAAACTACATTTCATTTAATTATTATAATTATAAATGAGAGTTGAATTAACTGTAAATGTAATAAGTTATGATACAGTTAACTTATACAGTTAATTGCGATCAATAAGCATTTGTAAACACTTATGTGTACACATTATATAATAAAATTAATAAGTTTATTTTGTTTATCATAGAAAATATATCTATCATTAAAACTATACAATAATTACTAATTGACTATAAGAACTGAAAATATAATAATAATTTATTATTTCTAATGTATTGATTGGCAAATATGTACTACAAATACAGCATAAGATATAAACTTAATTAAAGAAATATAAAAACATTTTATACTTATATTCCGAAGTTATTTAAAAAATTATTGATATTTTTCTGGCGATCAATAAGTAGTCTCTCATACGAAAAGTTTTCGCTATAAGAAAATGTATGAAAAATATTTTCTTATTTAACTAAAATTATTGCTAATTTGCGTGCAGTGACAGACTTAGGAGTGTATTGTTTTTTAGTGCCACTACCGAGGGGACTGTTAGCTCGCAAGTGTATGAAAAATTAGCTAATTGTGCGCTAGTATTGCATTCATACGTAGCCTACACTGCAAAAGGTCTTCACATCGTATATACGATTGTATAATACGTTTCGTAATATAAATTTTGTTTTCACTTAAGATTAACTTTAAAGTGATTTTTCTCTCTGTCTCCACAAAAAAACTTTTCACAAAAAGTATAAACAAAATATAAATAACAACAAAAACTATTTGCTAAGTATTTCCCAAACTAACAAAAAAAGTTTATACTTCTTGTTGTTATTTAAAGCTTACGCCGAGAGTTAATAATTCATTAATATTTTGGCAAAAAATAAGCATTTCTTGACTGTTTGGCTCATAAATTATCACTACTTCCCAAAAAAGCTATCGTTCCTTTCGTTTCTCTCTATAAGCTATATATTAGACGATAATAATCGCGTGAATAATGAGTAAACCGACGCGAATGCCGTATTTCAATCAGGCCGGCGGTAAGGAGCAGGTGGTGCTCGCCGAGGGCTACCTGCCCACCGACAAGATCTTCAAGATCGACCGCTACCTGCGCTACTTCGGTATGCTGTCCCAGAGCATCGAGGACTACCTCCAGGGCAACATCCGGGGCAAACTCAAGCGGCCCACCAAACGCCTCTACGGGCTGGCCGTCCTGTCCCTCATGACGATCGTGTTCTCGAGGAATATGATACTGGCGTTCGTGGACGACCCGGACGTGCGTAACGTGTTGGGCGAGGCGGCGCCCGGGCGACCGGCCAAGCAGTTCACGATGGCGTTGACCCTGTGGTCGATCTACTCGTTCCTCATCTCCCGGCTCTTCTACAGGGCCGAGAAGTTCCGCTGGAACTCCTGGTTATCGCCATTCGCGGTGTTCAAGGGCTTCATACCGCCCTCCATCATGGGTTTGGACACCGAGATGACCGACCACTGGTTCGCCAAAACCAAGAAAGTCTTGGCTCAGATGGCGCTCTTCACGAACATCAGGGCCGCGTTGGGCTCAATGATGATGGCGTGGGTGGCCTACGCCCGGCTCCGGTCCAATTCGGTCAGCCAGCCCTTCGCCCTCCTCTGGGCCACTATACTGATCGTGTGGGTGTACTATTGCACCGCCTATGCCTACATAGGCTACGGCCACTTCATATCGTTGGCCTACTATTTTCGGATGCGTTTCCATAAAGTCAATGAGGATATCGAGTCCATCATAGCGCCAGACAACCGCATGAAACCAAATGAACGGTGCGCTACCCTTCACCACGTCCTCAATGAACACAACGAGTTGTGCATCAAAATCAAGCGTAAGTCCCGAAGACATTGTCTAATGTAGTGATAGTGAGAGACCACTCATAGCTAATGCATGAAAACTTTTAGCGCACTTCACATAAACAGTTAGTTTTATCGGCACTTCAGAGACCACTTGAATATATTATATATAATTGAAAAGCCTATTAGAAAGTGAATGTAATTTATAATCATTTTTAGGGAATTAGTTGTTTGAGAGACTAATGCTTAGCTAATGTTTGCGTAAAATTGTTGTTTCAAAAATCTCTTGAAAATCATACACACAGAGTATAACGTGTTTTGGGCCAAGTATCTGATGTACACCTACTTCATGTTTGTGGCCATTATCTGTTACTCAACATTTCAGGCATTCTTCACGTACAACAGGACTTTGGTGAGGGCCGTCATGTTTAGCCTGGCGCTCGAGTCCGCGTACCTCATCACCAAAGTGTCGATCGCCGCGTCCCGTATGGCTAATGAGGTGTGACTTTAGTAGGACGTGCTCTGCATTTCTGATATACTAATCATAATAATAATAATACTGTAATTTCCATTTCTATATATCATTGGGCATTTAACACCACTTACAGGCACACGCAGCCTATACCAGACTTATTAGAGTAACGTTTGATAAATATCCAGTCGAGTTGCAGATCCAGGCAAGTTTTTTCCAGTCTCTCTCTCTCTCTCTCTCTCTCTCTCTCTCTCTCTCTACCAGCTCTCCCAAACACTTCATACCACTCACCCCAAACACTACCTCCCCTTCCCATCACTCATACAACAGCTCCTGAGAGCAGCGAGAAGTTCGCTGAGCTTCCAGTCACTGAAAGCTGGCGTTTCCTATCACTTGTAACGTGAAAACTATGATGAGATGTGTTGTGTTTGTGCACTCTTTTGATGATATGAAGTGAAATGTGTGTGTGTTTGATGAGTTTGACATTGGTGAATTGTGAATTGATTTCTTGTTGCGATTATTAGCTCCGTATGTTTATCCAGCGCCTATCGGGGCCTACAATCGGTTTCTATTGTCTGGACCTCTTCGAGATCACGTACTCGACGTACGCTTCTGTAAGACATTTGAAGACTTTTTAAATATATGTTTTGCAAACCTTTTACTGTTAGTTATGCATAGCCTTGACTTCAGTGCAAATATCATGACTTTTAGAAAAAAAACTTTTTCTTATTTCCTATTTTCCTATTGGAAACAACTATTCACTCATTCATTTTCCACTCGCCATTCAATCAAACAAAAAAAGTTTTTTGTGTTTGAATGCATCGTAATGTTTGACGGATTACCCCATAGTTTTTAAATGTCATGCAAATGAATGTTGCGCTGAAAGTCATTCATCATTAAGAAAGCTATGCATAAATATAGCAACAAATATCATACACTTCTCGTTACAAATAACTATCAAACGCTATATTAATCGGCAGATAATCGCGGCTTTGGGTCAAAACTTTCTCCTGATCGTGGATTTTGTGAGATCTTATGCCGAGCTAAAGGAGGAACAATCGCAGAGCGATTTAGACATTCCTCAGGTGTTTGATGTCATCACGAACTCCACCTTTGATTTGAATCCATTGTCGCTGACGAGCGGTTCCCTTCAGGGAGCCCTTCCCGAGACTCTTACAGGTAAAGACATTTTTTGTTTTTGATGATCTTTCTATAGAAATAAATATATATATTATCTAAATATAAATATGTTTTCCTACGCTATGGAAATTAGGATAAACTATTCTGGGCAAACTAATGGTTTTTATTACTTATTCATTCATTTCTATGACATATTATTCTCAATATAAGTGTTGTTTTGTATTTTTAAAGACCAAAATATGAATTCAATAGAAAATTATTTGCTTTAAATTACTCCTAATCTCGCAAATCATATCAATATTGACGAGAAAAAACCATTTATCAGTGTTTAAGGCATCAGAAAAATAGGTAAACTTTTGATTGTAAACTATTTTTTCAGTGTCAAAGTCAGTCAAAAAATGTTGTTTTTCTGTATCTCTTAACTTCCCCTCCGAAAGCCACTCATCTCTTGTGTCCAATAAGTTATTTACGACAAGATCTCCGATGATAGTCACCACTAGAGTACTACCACTACTACACGATTACCAATGAATAATAAAAATGACACAATTTATTTTATGGGGACTAAATTTAATTAAAAGCATATCAATTAGCTAGTCCGTGGCATAATTTATAGCCTAGTGACAAAAATAGTCAGACATCAGCCAATGGGTCAGTCATGTTAATTATCGTGTTATGTGTCATCTGGTTGTCATAAATTGTCTGATTAGACGGTGATGGGGATAGGGATTCCGACTCATAGTATACTAGATCTCCTAATTTATTTCAAATGCCAATTAAATCCAGTTCCCAGTTCTCAGTCACTAATTCTACAGCAAAAATAATCCCCGAAATAATAAAAATATCTATAATTATGGGTCTTTACAGAGGAATCCTTACATTTAGTTTTATTTTTGCAGATTTAAATCGGTTTAAAAGGGGTTTTGAATAAGTTTTTTGTGAATTCATATGTAATATAACTTTAGCTGCAAATTCCTGGCGATAAATAAGCGTTTCAGTCGTGACATCAACAAAAAGGGCTATAAATGCTAACATTTATTGCTATTTTATTATCGATTCCTACAATAAAAAGCTTAAGATTATTAAGAGATATACACACAGAAAAACAATCGTTTAAAAACTTATTATTTATGTCATAAGCTATATATATAATATTCAACTGTATTATAAGGCAAACTATATTTTTCTATCGTAAATGAATAGAAATTTTTTTAATTTTCTAAATATTTTCTTAAATAGTTATCTCATATAATAAATTCCCCGAAAATTAATACACCACTATATAACCATAATGACTATTGGGAAAAATTGTATGCAATTTTTGTTGGCTATTTGTTATCTCGATGTCAAACTTAAATAACAAAATTATGTGTATTTTTAAGCGTATCAAAAATATTTTATCACTCAAAAAGCCTACCATTCATTCAATTACTGATATACAGTACACTCCTATACTATACTCTCTGTAATTGAAATGCACTCCAAAATAGTTGCAAAGAATTTCAAGTTTTACTTATAATTATCGTTTAAATTAGATTTAATTATTTTTAATCGACAATTTCTATCTGTTTATATATACGGTATATATATATATATATATCATATAAATGTACGAAAAAATTGCTCACTTTTTTTGGTGACTCCGAAATAGGGGGCAATTTTGCGATAAACTATTTCGCGGAGTAAATGCTTATTACTATTATTTTTTGTATAAAAAATTATAACTAACGCACGCTTTGATTGCTGTTTAAGTGATACATAATTTTGCAAAAAATTTATTACATATACTGTACTATACTATCCGAGAGAGAAAACTATCGCAAAAATTAATTAACAAATAAAATACACTCTGTTTATCCGATTTGTTTTGTGAAATAAACGCTTTTTGTTTTATTTGCTTTATCCTGACACAACAAAAGTGGTTTTCAATTTACAGTACAAACTAAAAAAATATACTCCAATTATAAATATCAATGATTACTATTAGCAAAAATAATCATAATTGGAAAAATTGCATTTACATAAAACAAAACTCAAACTTTTATATTAATTAATAATTACTTAAATGAATGATTAATTGGAAATACATTTATATCCAACAAAAAAACAAATGAACGCATGATTTGTGACGACAAATGTGTGTCAATACACTATCGGCTCCTACAGCTCCCGCCACTCGTCTCACGTCTGGTATTGACTCCACTGATTGGACGAGAAATTGGTGGCCGCGTCGGCGCCGGTAGCCGTCGTCCACTGAGTATTACTCGTCTGCCATTGCGTGGCGTTCGTCGCCGGTATGAAAGTGCCGTCATTTCGACACAATATCTGTGTCCCACCGCTGGCTATGATCTGAATGGTCTGTCCGGCCAGGGAGTCGAGCGTCGACTGGTTCAGCGGAACGACTATACTCTGAGCGCCGGCTATAGTCTGCGACTGAATCTTCTTTTTGATCACTTTTCCGATCGTCTTCTTCTTGATTTGTCGGCTCTTTTTCGGTGACTTTCGGCCGAAGTCCGCGACGGATCTCATGGTGTCTTCCGGGCGCCGGGACTTCGGTTTCCGTTTGCCTTCCCTTTCCAACTGTCGGTTCATCTCTTCGCGGCGTCTCTTCGCTTCGACCAGACGTTGCGAATGACTTGTCTTAAACTCTTCGCTAATGTACGGCCTCTTCGGCGCTTTGAT